TTGGAAGCACTGTCTGACGCGTCTGCCTCCGCGACCCGAAAGGAGAAGCGGCGATGGAAGATGACGATGAAGATGGATGCATTCGCGCTTTTAGTGAGTTAGTGATCATATTTAAATTAGCACAAAACACGATTTGTTTGTACACAATTCAAGCAGTTTCGTTAATCGGATGATTGGCAAGTTCCGAGGTTTAAATCTACGTATCAGAGCCTTTGTTAAGGTAAAAAGATTTTTTAACTGTGAACGACAAGAACGACTTCCGATGCAAACAAACCTCTCTACCTCGATGAAGCTCCGCAACGTCGTACCAGTCAACTACCCTGCTTCTTCTTCCGCTTCCTAGAATGTTCCCTTTAACAGGGGTTCGTGAATTGAGTCAACCTCTGTGACGCTCTCAAGTTCGTCTCTTCGGAGCAGGAAGTAGGCGATCTGATTTTCCTTTTTCCCGCTCCTGCATATTAACAGGTAGTTTTCTCTTTTCTGGAAATATCTGTTTACCTCTGAATCGTCCAAGTGACAATATTTTTTGTGTTGTGTATAAATAAACCGCTTCATGACCTTTGCAACAACTGGCCTTATAAAAACTTGTCAACATTTTTGTACTGTGACGATGACTGAGCGTTTGTCTGGATAGTCAGTTTTTTCTAGGAATCGGAATGTCTATCTTCGATCACATTTCGAGATTGGGCCATTTTGCGACCTTCAGTCCGTGAATTTATGATGCAATGCTGCTCTCCGCTTTTATTCCATCAGCTAGGAGTGTCTTTTTAAGGCAAAATTTACATCCTTATTGCAATCGTAGCGTACGGTTTTCTGTTTTCTTCTCACTGTGGTACTCATTTATCAACCTCAGAACGAAGAAGGGCGAGTGACCCTCGACCGCGCCTTGAACTCAGTGCCTACCGATTCTGAGTTCGACGCTCTACCGACTGAGCAACCCGGAAGCAATGGGTAGTAAATACCTTGCTGAAGAGAATTCTTGAATAAAACAAAATCTTGAATTGCTTTTGAGAAGAATCGAATTTGGCACCTCCGAGTTCGAAGCAGATTTCTCAGGCAATAGTACCAACACGCCAATATTATTTCTTAGAAACACCCATAACGATAACAAATCAGGTACGATGATATTCTGTAGATGCAGTAATCGGTACCATAGCAGAAGAGAACAAACAGCTGCAAATACAGACATCACAATCCAGGTGCGTTGTGCTGACGTAGACGGCATAACGCAGTGCTCTCGAAAACACAACACGTTTCGGTCATCCATTTGTTTGTTAAAGAACGATAGATTTTTCTTACTGCATTAGCATGATCCTCGATGCATCATACCCACTACGAGGGTCAGCTTCAATAAGGGTCCTTCACTATCTCGATGATTTCTCCACATAGAAATTCACGTAATGCTGCAGAGGTAGAAAGTTTTATTCCTTCACATGTATAGGCAACGCACAATACAAATAACTCTCTGTTTTCTGTAAACGTATTAATCATGAATCTGGAAAAAAGAATCTAATTCCTTAATCTCCTTTCGACAGGCCTGACTTCGTTTCTAGGAGCGGACAGTGGCATATGTGAATATATAAGAGTTTTTGTGGTCAACATGTGGTACTGTCCTGGCCCACCCATGTTTACCGCGGGAAAGAGTTACACAGATACCAAAATCTAGAAGTTTGCCCATCATGACCGACCCGTGACCTCCGGACGCCACATATTCGTTTCGCCGGGCGTATGATTTCAATAACAAAGCGGTAGTAGCCTGCTATACCAACGAGTCATTTTTGAGGACAAATACGCAAAAAATAAATTGGCAATAAACAACGGCTACACTAAAGCAAACATAATTAAGCTCATGGCTAAGTTAGTGGGTGTCACTTGTCATAAAGCAGCACATATTAAGAGCTAAGTTTTCTCTGGACTTTACGGAATTATGAGCCGTCGAGTCGGCACGAAACTATCCACTGACTCGGAACAGTGAAGAATCCCATTCGATGAAAATCAGACTCAGGAAAAGGAAAGTTTGCAACCGTTGGAATGTCAGTCATTTTTACACTTTCGTGATGGAGCCATTTCTAATACTATTTTTTTCATGAAGTTCATGCTGATCTCCACTTTCACGCCGTCGGCCAGGAGTAAGTGATTTTAGACGCAAGAATAGTGTGTAGTCTCTTTCCTGTCCATAGAGTAATACTCACAGGTCAATCTCGGAATGAAGAAAAGCAACTGACCGGAATGGAGCTAGAATCCGCCACCATTCGGTTCTAAATCTGAAGCTCTACTGAGCATGCCAGCGATTCAATTTACCAGAACTCATTCAATTTGATTCCCAGATTTCAGCAACCGTAACAGGTCATTCTAAATAACTCTTCGGCTACAACATAAGCACAGTCTCAGCTATATTATAATACCAAAGTTAGATGAAACAAAATCTAGTATAATTATTTACTGATGACAGTCATTGTTATGTAGGCACTGTCCCACGTATCTAATGGGTAAAGACGACACTGCCGAACTTCCTGAGGAAGGACAAGAATAACCTGGAGCAAATGAATCGACGGAATGTGCACTAGACTAGGATTATCTTTCACTGAACTCGAATGTTAGCGCATACTGTCGGCCTGCGATGCTTCCGCGACTCTAAAGGATAAGCGGTCATTGAAACTGACGTACTGACAGAACAAGTCACAACGCTGTTAAATGATTTAACAGTGTCTAAAAAATTGGCCGCTGCTCATTTCACAGCTAATTCATATATTAAAGATTTGTTCCGCTAACCCGTTATCGCATTTTAGCACATCTGACCTAGCTTCCGCAATGGGATCGAACCGCGTATTTTTTTTATTTTCATAGACTAGAAAGAAGCTGATCTGTAAAATAAGTCGTAATTAAAATATGAGTATGCATCAGTAGAAAAATATTCGAAAAAAATCCCTTTGCTTTGAACTTAATTATTAAACTACAGCTGACAAAAACGAAAAAATCAAATGTACTGGGTAAAAACAGCTATTTCAGAATGGTTGCAATTTTGTAAGCCTGTTCTCAGCAAAAAGTAATTTTTTTCTGAAATAATTGAGTATTTAAAAATTACAGCAATCGCAAATGTACATAACAAATTATTCTGCCAGAATCTAGCGTCAGAGCAAAGCTCAGGTGCACTACAGCATATTAAACGAGTCGTAGAACAAGGAACGGAAGTAATTCATTGCCAAAGGCTGTTCTGCATCTTCAACATTAAGATCTCTGGCGCTGCACGAGCATCCCTGACCACAAAAGAATATAGTAGAGCTGGTTCCTTTGCGCTGCGAGCGACAATGAAGCGACTATCAACAGTCTCGTCATCTCATCATCTCTCCTGCTCTTCGTTGGCCGACGAACTTCACTGCCTGCTGCTGAGTAATCAGCCGTCGTTGCTGCTGCTCCTCTTCGCGCTGTCGAATCTCCTGGGTCATATGAGCGGACTGCGACAAAAACGCCAACGCCCCTTTGGAGCATTTGTTGGCATAATGACCTTTTTCCCCGCACTAAAAGTAGCTATCATACGATAGAACAACATCGGTAAAACAATGAGAGATTCACCTTGTAACAAGTCACTTCATGCAGGGGTCGCTGCCTCTGTTCCGGAGGTAATGGTTCCATTTTATGTGGCTGAATCCAAAACGGAGCTCGCATGCCTCCAAACATGGTAGCTCCCGGCAGTTTTGGACAGTTATTGATTTTATGACCAAGTTCGCCACAGTGATGACAAATCACCAGACTGCTCATCACCTTCCGAGCCTGAGACGTGGGATCCGGAAGCGGAATGTCGAAGCGGGGGTGAGAATATTTACACTCAGGGCCGTCTGGACAAAAGCCGTTCAGGTACGACAGACACATCACGCGACGACGATGACGATTTTTGCAATGAGGACCTAGAATTCATTAAGAGATACACTGTGGTAAGACAAAAGACATAAGGAGCAGAGAATTACGAATAAGAATGTGTCTTCAAACCTAAAGGAAAAGAAATCGAAAATTTTAGGAGCCGTACTGTCGGTATAAGAACCTATACTCCGACGAACACCGTTTTGGGACGGCCTTCTTTCACGTTTCTTACCCTATGATGCTGACTCCTGTTCCGACACAATAAACAGGGGGCACTGCTTAAGAAAGCAGACAAACGTCTTGTGACAAGTTCCGTGTTAAACCCACTGATTACTTGTTCCTTATCCGTAGTCAAACAGAAAAGGCACGGTCGAATGAGTTACCAATTGACAAAGACAATGAGAGGACTCGTAGTAGCATGTGAGGAAAGTTAAATTTTACATGCAATTCAGCTCAAAATGTGGGAGACAACGTGTGCTTTTCTTGACATTACTACCTTAAGTATTCTGCATAAGCAGAACAGTCTTCACACTCTTTGGAGCCAGTGAGAAACATAGGGTACTGTTTTCTGTCAGTCGTTGTCTTGTCACAAACGATTATGCCAATGAAAATCGTAAATATATTATCACAAATGCAAAGAACAGTCGAAGGGTTTCAGTTATCCAAAAAAACAGTAAGTGAAAGAATTGGAAGCAACCGCAGAATGAAGTAAGGAATTGGTGTCAATATCGGTCAGTGAGTAAGCCTGCCAGTCAGTCAGTTGGTGATTGAATGAGTCAATCAGTCAGTTGTGATGACCGCTTATCGTTTCGAGTCGCGGAGGCACACGCATCAGACAGTGTCAAAGGTTCTCGTTCCTGTCCAACAGTGTGAGTTTCGGCAGAAAATAATCAGACTAAGGAGCAAAGTGTATCCAAGTTACATTCAAATTTAATGAACTTCAGTACTTTTCACTGATGTTTACCCAGTAAGGGAGAGTAAACTAAGTGTACTTCTGAAACGGCCAACACATACCGCGACAGTTCCATGAACCTTCTTCATAAAGACCATGGCAGACAGTCAGAGAACACCATCCAAACACATATGGCTCGGGTATATTGAAAAATAGTTGAAAGGTACTTTCGTAGTTGAAGTCAAGTCCGTGGGGCTTTTTCGAGACCACTGAAAATTTTTCTGTTCAAGCAGCTGCCTTGGCATCCAGAACCAGAGAGTACAGTATGAAAACAGAGAATGAACGAACAAATGAATTAAAATCCAATCAAACCAGTATGCATCTTTGAAAGCTATCATGCTCAACGAAGATTTTAAATTTTCTTTTTTTCCATATATTTCTTTAATAGTGAAGGTTATGAAAGCTTCAGACAAAGAGAAAAAAAGCAATCGTAATTGCTCCCTGACAATCTTGTATGACCGTACCGCTGGGCATTGTTTGCAACTGGTAAGGTTGGTAAAATCAGCTGAAACTTTGGTTCTGCACAAAAAAAGTTTTACGTCACGTGCATTATTATTATTATTATTAAAGTCTTAGTAGTTCATTAAGAATTTTTAAACGTTCAACTATAGTAAAATGAATAAAATGAGTACCGTTCCTGCAGAAGCCGCGGTCGTACCAAGCGCAGTCTTTAATTTTACTTTCAGGATCTATGTGACGGAAAGGACATTCCTTGTTGCTGCAGGCATCTAAAATTTTGGGGTTTAGCTGCTGATTTAAATAAACCGGATTTACAGTTTGTGGTTACAAAAACTTTGAAAATCAACATCGTTCAATGCTCTGCATTTCAAGATAAGAAGCACTACGCAAGCATACAGAGCAAAAAACATGCTATTTAAATTGATTTTCATAATGAAGCCTACAGATTATAATTACGTAAATAGGTCTCCTAATTAAAGTGATGCAGTTCTGCATTCATGCCTTGTATGTGACTTTCTTAAACAACCCAAGAGCACTCAAAAAGCATCGGGGCGGAGGACCACTTTGCGTAAAACATGAGAAGGAACTTAAAAATATCCTGGTTGTCAGTCGAAAATGAAATGAATCTCGCACATACTAAGCTGGAGTGTTGTTTTCGACCTGGAAACGAGAAACTAAACCTATCATTTACGTTCACGCGAAAAAAAATTTGGTAAAATGTTAAAAGCTGTTCGATTTCAAGGAGACGGTCCTACGCATTGGAAACAATCAGTTATCGAGAGACAAATCAGAATTAATTAAATAAAATTATTAGAGCCTCAACTATTCCATATTTCAGTTAGTACTTACTCTTCGCTACGGAAAAACACCGTCAACACTAGAAGAACATCAATCGCTAATTGTATGCCTAATCCAATTCAGTAGAAATTGGTTTCTATTCCAAAGGCAATGAACTGTTACTTTAACTGCTAATTTAGACCACTGTTTTCCGTTATATGCAACTCCTTTAGCATACCTGGCATACTTCCTTTTAGTCCATCATCAGAAGCCACTACCCGGGCCAAGTGTGAACTTCTACCCTGCTTAATTTTACAACTTCTTACAGAACCGGATCCGAAAGTAGAAAGAAAACAACTAAGTGATCGTTCTTAGTGATCAACGAGAATTTCGATGACCACACTCATTTATCTCATGCTGTTAATCTCCTCAAGTTCCATATCTAACTTTTATTACACTGCCCTATCTGAATCAAGATCCCGCAACTTGGCGTTTGCAGCTATTTGGGTACCAATCCGTCATTGATGTAATCAATCGGTCATCCGTCAATCACGGAATATAAATCCCCGCCCATTATATATTAATTTCTCAGACTGTTCCTGACTGAAAATCTTGGCAACTTTTCTTCAACTGCGCGTTGCTGCATTCTTAACAATCCTTCTTCATTTTTTTCGCTAATGCTCAGGTTTCGCAAAACAGAGAAGTATCGGCAATACAATGTCTTCATACAGCGTTGTTCTAACCGCTAATCGATAACTCCTGCATTCAACAGTGTCAGCGTTTTTTCACATATACTTCACGCCGCCTAGCACCATATTCAGTGACTTTTCATATTTCGTAATCAATGATGGTCACTACATATAACAGTTCGAATGCATTTGTCATTTTTTTCCTTTTGGTCCTATTTCTCCGAAGTTCTATTTACTTGCTCCTTAATTCAAGCTCCCGTAGCATCGCTTAAACTTCTTTTACTTTGTCCTAGATGTCTTCAGAAAATCGAATATGAGTGAGCGATCTGTGGTTGATTGAAAATTCTTCATTTCATTTCAGGTTGCAAAATTTCACCCACTTAAGGTGCAAAAAGGTCAGGCGAATTGTTTCTCCTTGATGAACTTCACTACAATCTTGGATTTTGATTGAATCTTCAAACATGAATTTTCTTGCTGAAATTTTCTTTTATTTCTTCTATTCCCTGCTTTTGCAATGCACGAATGACTGCCTCATACTCCATCATGTCCTAAATGACTTTTCGCAGATGATGAAATTCAGGTACATGGACAATCTGTACTAATTTCACGATTCGACTAGCTGAATTAATTATGTTACGCATGCCTTCGTTT